CCTTCCTCTTTTGAAAACCACTCAGTTTCACACGGGACTCCACGGCCAGCTTTACTGCAAAACACACTCTTATCCCGTCAGAAAAAATCGACAGAGTTCAGCCCCGCAGAACTTTTCAAGAACAAGCGGGCTCCTTAAAGCCCCGGCCTTAGTGACCAGAAAAAAGCAGCTGCAACAGCACGTTTCCTTCTACGGTGTTGCGATGGTTTTGGAATCAAGGGAGAGATTAAATACGTGATTCGTCTCCTGACTCCTTCCCAGAGGACCAAACCCTCCGTCTCAATTTTTAACCTGCTCCAGTTAAACTCTGCAAACCCTGCCCCGCAGCGAAGACGCTGCCGCCTTAGGGAGAGCAAGCTTACCGCCTTGTAAGGTGTACTCGGTCACCGCTCGGCTGAAGACGCCCAGGCCCGCCCCGTTGTACGCAGCCACCTGAATCTCATACTGGGTCCAGACGATCAGCTCTGTCACCAGGCAGTAGCTGACCTCCGGGCTGGTGATGTTCCTCTGCTGGTGCGTCCCCGGGAGGCCAGCCAGGCGGTACCTGCGTCAGACCGGAGAGAAGTGACCTGAGCCAGGCCCTGACTTTACCCAAAGTCAGCCAACGTGGTCAGAGGAAAACGGAAGTAATAAAAGGAAAGCCGAGAGGTCAGCCCCAGACACCACTCCGTTTACATCAACTGTTACAAGAGGTGTAATCTAATCTCACCGTGGTGCTGAGCGCGGGGCCCGGCAGAACTGACGTTTCAACTGTTAAGGTTCAGGGGAAATGATAGCTTTTTAAGTCTAAGTTGTCCGGGGAGTATGGGGACTCAGCACCAAAACTCCAGATGTGGCTTCTGCCGGGGTGTCGCTGTAAATCAGGGGGCACGGTCCCTTCCTCCTGTGACCGTGAAACGTGGCAGAGAAGCAAGCGCGCGGCCTCTCGGTCTCCGTGGGGCGAGCTCCCAGCTGCATTTGTTCATGCAGTCCTGGCGTTAGGAGTGGCTTTACAAGGTGTTCACACTCCTAAAATACCAATCCCACGCTGAGCGTGACGAACTGCTTTTGAGGGGACCTCTGAGAGCGCAGTGTGGTACGCTCTGTGGTGTAATAA